GAATATGTTCACAGAATGTTCCCCCTACTCACTGACAGTCACATTCTAGGAACTGTTTCCATGCAGGTGTGTGAGTTGTTTCTATTGTTTGGGTTTGTTGGTTTTTTTTTTCCCTTCTCTCACAAAATTTCCCCAACATGTCTCTCACAGAGCTCTCTGTTTTTCTCCTGATACAATCTGAACCCTCTCTGCCTGTTTTGCAATGTGACAATCCCTCAAGCAGCTGGTAGTTACTGGCTCATGCAGGTGTTTTAGCACCCCAGCAAGGCAGAATCTATTTCCCAGCTGCACATAGCCTGGAATCACTTGGCTTGGAAGAGTGTACATTAACTTAAATTCCTTTATCACTTTATCACATCAAAGTTTCATTCTTCTCTGCAAAGCCTCAATCTGAAATCAAGTATGGCCAAAGTCAGAGCACATTTTCAGGGAAGGTGTTAGCACGGCAGAGCAGGAAGGAAATCTTATCAGCTTTGCTGAGCTTGGTGGGTTAGCTTTACAGAGTGCCGTTTGTCAGCACAATCCACAGCAGCAATGCTGCAAGCACTGGCTGGGAAATGAAGCCTGATCCAAAGCCTGCTGGAATCCATGCAAAACAACACCTACTTACTTGATCCTTTTCTCTCTGAAGTCAGTGAGATGCTGACGTTTATTTCAACAGAAGCAGCTCCATGGCTTTGATATCTCTCATGTATTTCTGAGTACTGACTTCTGCAAACCAAAGCAGAATCAAAAGCTTCTTTTTTTATTCTTTTGAGAACACAAACCCAAGTGTCAGAAATGAAAATATTAAATATCTGGGGAATAAACTCTGATGACTTAACGTTGATAAAATGAAGGCTTTTAGTCGTATTCGTAAGTGTATTAATAAAAACATATCCTTATGAAAGACTAAATCTTTTAAGAGCTGACTAAAAGACTGGCTACAAGAAGGAAAGAAAAAAGATGCAACTCTTTTTCATAATGGTTTATTCCACCCCTCATAATGTCCACCTTATTTGATTATCTGTCAAGTCTTCTCAAAATTCAAATAAACCTTACAAGATTATATGTGCCCCATGAGAGGTTTAAAACTTCTTAGGGTTGTGGCTATTGCTTTTCAGAACTCAAAAAATGTTTCCAGGATTTGTAATTACAGCTTCACCAGAGCTGACATTATCCCCTAATGAAGTAAAATGACACTGAGACATGACTCCATTATAGGAATAAATAGGGGAACATAATTTCATGCCTTACTGAAATTAAAGTTATCCTAGAGATTCTAAGATTAATTTCTTCTGCCTTCAAAGAAGGAATTTTTTTTTGATTCATGAGCTGAAGATTTTGAAGAGGCTGGTGCTGGCTAGCTGGTCTGTCTCTCTACGAAATTGCATTTAGCAAAGTGTCTTGGGAAATGAATCAATTAATGCTGAATGATACCAGAAGCAAGAGATCGTCCTGTGCCCATATTTGGTGCATTATTAAAAATTTCACACCCTTTTTACCTCAGGGAGATTTAGCCAGCAAAGACATGTGACCCAAAGAGTGAAATTTCCTAGATTTGTGTCAGTAACATGCATCAAACAAGCACTAACTCCTGTTTGTCAAAAAAGCAGAGAAAATACACGTGGAGAACTAAACCCACCCCGACACGTGCCCAAAACCCAAACAAGAATATTTGCATGGAGGGAAGAAGCACTAATGCTACCAGCCTGGGGCTGTGTTACTGAGCAGGTGTGCTGAGGGATGCTCACAGGAGGAAGGCAGGATGATGAAGGACCCATCCCCAAACTTCCCTAACAAATGAACTTGGAGCCTCCTGTGGGAAAAAGGCTAGAAAATTAGCTGGGCATGCTTCACAGGTATTTCTGTCTGCTTTTTTCTAATGAATCAAAGTGTTTTGAACTCTGCCTCTATAGACCTGTATAAATCTGTTAATGTGCTTGGAAACTTGAACACAAATGTTGTTTGGAAGGTGTCTCACGCTGGAATAGTTCCTTTATATGCCAAGGGTATTATCTGATACACCCAGGACTGGGTAGGAAGGGCTATTTCCTGTACATGTGGTAAGAAAATCCAGCTATTCCAGGCCCCAGGAAAATTACATGCTCCCACGTAAAGAATCCAGCTTCCTTTCCTTAGATCTGTTTTCTTTTCCTCACTCTATAAAGCAAAATTCCTTTAAAAGAACCACCCTAATGGCTTTTCTGTGTTGATACAAACCAAAAGGCATTAATGAAGGAAGAGAACATGAAAATTTGTATTTAACTACTGATTCTCACCAGAGATGAGTACGATAAGGAACTTCAAAACAAGAGCAGGAAGATACCCATAGTGGCCTTTTACATGATGCAGCAGAATGCCAAAGTTTCAGCCTCATAGGAGGGTTTTATCCTCATAACCTCCATAAGGCAAGGAAGGAATAGAGTGCTATTACCTGCACCCTACAGATCACAAACTGATACATGATGAATTCTCCAAGTCATAAGGAAAAGATTGTGGAGGGAGCTCAGCGTGGTCTCCTGAGAGCCAGGCCACAGCCAGGCCATCCCTCTTGTGTGAAAAATTCAGTTAACTTTGAAGACACCCACAGTTCATCAGAAAGGATCAGACAAGTTGTTTGAATACCACAAAAAGGGTATTCAAAGTGGATATTGTGCTGGATATGTAGATAAGAACTCATTTACAAGAATTTGAATAGACAGGCTCGAACATTTCAGGAGTGCTGCACATCACCAGGCACAGAGAGGGATCAGTATCCTACAGCCGAGTTAGCAGGCACAGCTTTATACCAGTTAATAAGGCCGGATTGTTTTTTGTAAGGACCATTCTTACTCCTTTCTCCTCTCCTTTCAATGCAGCAGAACAGGCTAGGATTCAACAAAACGATTACAAAACAGCCACAATGTTAAAAAAAGGGTCAGGAACTTGGTCCTGGGAAGGTGAGGCTGTGCAGCACCTGGGGAAGCTGCTCTTTCCCTTTGTGCTTCTGTGTCCCACACCTCAAAGGAGGGAGGGTGGGCTAGGATATCCCACAGAGCCCCATGTAATGCCGGACTGGTGGCTCCTGATTAATGCTTTTGTTCTAATCTTTAACTGATGCGTGTTCATCTCAGCCCAGAGTGATTATCTCAGTTTGAGTATCTCAGTTATGTTTTCCTTTGGAGAGAGGTAGGTGTGACTGTGAATAAAGAATTTCTTAATTCTGGTTAAGTAACATCTAATGAAACATAATTTTTAAAGATGGTTGTGATAATAGTTTAGTGTGAATGATACAGTCATCTTTTAGCCACTTTCAAAGATCAAAGAGTTAAGGACAATGAGTAAATACACTAATTATAGTTAATAAACAGCCAGGTTCCTGCTGGTCTTCATGCAGCCCTTGATGATACAGAAAAGCTTTGGAAGAACTTGGCAGGAAAGGGTTATCTTTTTATGGACTTATTAACTCTTTCTGAGGCATGGAGGGAAGAGGACAGTTGTGAAGGTGAAGACAATGTGGGAGACCAGTGCTGCAAGCATCTTTCCTAACCAAAAAGGAACAGCTATCCTCAAGAAAGAGGTTTTGGAATATTTCCCAGTAGAGGCTGAAGTCTTTCTGACTGTATATTTTCTGGGTTCTCTGACCCTCAGTGGTGGACTGAAACCATTAAGACTCTGTAAAAATCGTAGAAATATGATTTCTTTTATACACACATGCCCCTCTGCTAACTACAGAGCGCTTTTTTTCCTGGAAGTTTGCCAAGAAGATTTTCTCATTCCTTGTTCTTGCCTTCCCTAAGGCTGCTAAAGATGATAGTCTTTTAGATACCAGGGAAATGGTATGCACCATTATTTCTATATTCTTGCTTTTATCACTTGGAGGAAAAAATACAGTTAATCTCCTGAAGTTAAATCAGCAGACAAACATATTGCAATTCAAAGTTAATCATTGAGTAAAACTTGGGTTCAGCCAAGCACAGAGCAAAAACCTGGAAGACAAATTTCAACCCAATTGAGAGATTTTCTGCAACTAAATTCTTGCCTTAAGATCGACAAATTATTTTAGAGAGCTGGCTAAACCACTTGGGTCACTAGTGAGTTTGTTACGTTCAGCTGTACACGGATGAAAAGGGCCACATTCACACTTGTTTTCCCTCCCCATTATGCAAAAGCCGCTTCAAATTTGGCTCAGGTGTGAAAAGGGTCAGAGCTCAAGTCACGGCAGGCCAAGGGTCCCGCTGCCTTGCTCTGCCACAGCCTTCTGCAGCACCTCTGATGTGCAGTGACTGCGTGGCATGTGTCAATCTATTTATGACTGGCTGAGGCCCCCTATAAAGTGGGCCTGCTGAGGCTTTTGTCAAGCCTTTAGGTTGGCAGATATGGGCTTTAGCTCATTTTCCCTTTCTGCACTTCAAGTAATTCCTGATTGTTTTTCTTCGTTCCTCTTTTATACAACTTCACGTCTGCCGTCAGCAAGATGTTACTGTCGATGGGAGTCGGGCAGTTACAGCGTCAGCGCTGCTAGCTGAACTTGAACTTTCTCCCCGGTGGTTTTCTGTTTGCCTGCAGACCGAAACCTTCTTGAAGCTGCGAATCCGTGGCAACCTCTACGCTTCCTCAAAACCAGAACTTGAGCCGCCGAGAGGAAGCGCCCCGGGCTCCCCGTGCCGCGCTGTCCCTCGCAGCGCTTCCCCCATGGCAGGTGGGGCCGCTTCGTCCCGCTCGGGGCCCGAAACCACCGGCACAGCTGCGGGAAACACCCCCGCGGAAACTGCCCTCAGAAACTGCCCCTCAGAAACCGCCCCTCAGAAACTGCCCCCAGAAACCGCCCAGCGGAAACTGTCCTCAGAAACTGCCCCTCAGAAACAGCCCCGTGGAAACCGCCCCTCAGAAACAGCCCCGCTCGGGGCGGCGGGGGACGCGCACCTTGCGCAGGTTGCGCGGAGCTCAGCTCGCCCTGCCGGGCAGGGCCGGGCCCGGGCAGGGCCGGGGCTGGGGCGGGCGAGCCGCGGGCCCCGCCCCGAGCCCGGCTAGCCGCGGCGAGGCAGTGCCGGCAGCATGAGGAGCGGCGGCGCCGCTGCAGCCGCTGGGTCCGCGGGACAGGCGCAGCAGGTGCGGTGGGGCCGGGCGGGGAGGGCAGCGGGGCACGGAGCGGGACCCGCGGCCTGGCGCCGGGCACGGGGCGGCCGGGAGGGACGGAGGGAGCGCCCCGAACCGGGCTCTGCTCCACGGGCGGCGGCGCTCGGGGCCGGCCGGGCCGAGCCGTGCCGCGCTGAGCCGAGCCGTGCCGGGCTGAGCCGTGCCGGGCTGTGCCGGGCCGGGTGCGGCTGGGCTGGGCCGTGCCGTGCCCCACCGGCGGGTCCGGGTGCGGCGCTCCCGGAGCCCTCTCGGACGGTGGCACCGCGCTGGCTCGGACGGCCACGCAGGAAAAGTCAAAATAATCTTTTCGCTCTGTGAGTAGCCTGCGATTAAGGCAGCCGAGCGCCTTCCCAACGTGTTACAACGCTGGAGCGGGCTGTTAGTTTGGACGCGTCCTAATGAGTGTGTTAATCAGGGTAACATCCTTCTCTGCTCACCTTTTGGGCTAATTGAGAATGGCATCTGCCGAGTTTCTCTTTGCGCTTCGAAGCGTTTGTTAATAGTGATTGTCTGGTCGTGTTCACTCCGTTTTTCATGTCTAAATTCAGCATGTGACTTGAATTCAGATAGCTGCCCCGTGGAGTGGTGATTGTACGTTTATTTGCTCCTATGCCTGTAAGGTTGAGTCAGTATCAAAAAGCTTTAAGTTTTCTCTCAAGTTTATTGAAACAGATCTGGAGGTCTCTGTCGTCTTTAAAAGCTGTTTACAATTGGCAACCTTGTTGGTGCCTTCAGCCAAAATGAGATCTGAGCATGGAAATTGAACTGCATTCTTGTATCTAAAGATGGTCCCTTGCAGGTCAAAACGTAGGCATGTTGGCATGGACAGGAAACTTCATGGCAGCGTGAACTTTTTTTTTTTTCCTGCCTTTCTTTCTGCCTTTCTCTCTCTGTAGAGACTCTAAACCTTTCAGTAAGGTGGAGCAGTGCAGTCCTCTGCTGCCAGTCACAGCTGGGGTGTAGCTGCCCCCTCTCTGACTCTGCTTTTGGTTTTGAGGAAGTTCTTAATCTCTCTGTGACTCAGTGTTCTAATCTTTAAAATGGCTTAATAAGACTTGTCACGCTTGCCTCCCAGGGACATTAACATCTAATTGATGCTCACGAAGTGCCTTGATCTGGCAGAAAAGAGGGCATCTTGCTTCCCTCATTTCGCCACTTTATTTTGGGTGCTAATTATATTATATGGGTGGAAAACAGATTGGCTGACAACCGAACTGGAATTCATGTCTGTTATCATTGACACAGGCACTCTGAGTGTGTGCCCACTTATGCTTAGTTTGAGGTGTCCGGTGTTTCTCTAAAAACAGTGGGGTTTATCCTTTCTGGAGGATGAGAAATTGCACTGAAGCAGCAACAGACTTTTGCTCCTAACTCTACACAGTTTTTTCTCTGTGTATTATGAGGTCAGTAAAGGTTTTAAGAATTAAAACTGTTGACTCAACTCTCAGCATGTCCCTGATCGTAAATCTTACTCCGCCTGAATCTTACCATAGTCTCCGTTTTTGTCATGTTTTACTTCTTTAGAAATAGAGAAAACATACAAATTTACAGTTCTTTGCTTGAAAATACAAGCCTTAGAGTATAAAATGTATCTTTTTAACCGTTTTACTTGCGGCTCAAAGGAGTAATTAGCCACTTTACTCCCGTGACTTAAATCTTGCCCCATCTCCTCCTTATCGCTGCTGCCTCCCCCTCGGGCAGATAGCAGAGCCTGCGGCGGCAGTAGCAGGGCTCTGGCATGATGGGGTCACCATTAACCCACACCAGAAGACATCAGCAGTGTTCATAAATCAGCTGATGTGAGTGGGCACCCTGCCTTAACAGCACCGGCACCGTGGGTTTTTTCACCTAAAGCTCGGGGTGGCAGAATTCCCAGTCCTTTCCCTACATTTGGTTCCTCTGTAGGGCAGGTCTCTGTGCTGGGAGGCTGCTTTGTGACACGGCATTTGGCTCATCCCTTTGGTTCACTTCTCCTTTTCACCATTGTTGCTCCAGAATTGTCCTTCCCCGTGCTAAATGGGAAAGCGTGCAGCGCTGATACCTGACAGCCTTGATGGACCTTGATCAACCAGCGTTGATACCTTTTAAAGCACTGCTTGATGTTTGCTAGTGCTGTTCTTTTCATGGTACTAGGAAAAAACATTGCAGCTGCATCTCAGAGTGTGTGTGTGGTGGAGGGATGAAGTTCTGCATGGAAACTGAAGCATTCTTCATTCCACTTCTTCTTGCCGTGTGGTCTGCCACAGTGATGTGACTTTGCCTGCCCTGTCTGTAAAATCAGGTGACTTTTCAACAAATTAGTACAAAGGAAAGCATGTAAAAATGGGAAATTGTCTCTGTTTCACTCTGAATTTCTTTTTTGCTTGTTTTTAGTTAATTTCCTCAATGTTGGTCTGAAGTTGTATGGCATTACCAGATCCCTGACATCAGTGCTGCTGTTTGTGAGGAGATCAGATTTCCTTCAGTTTTGCCTAGAATCTAGACAGATGATCTGAAAAGGTTTTGTTTTTATTAAGATATGCTGAAGCAGGCTTTTCTAGTCTCCTGTCGATATCCCATTCCTTGTGGAGGTGAGGAGCCTGTGTTTTGGCTGGAGATGTTCTTTAAGTGTAAGAAACCAGAAAACAGAAGAGCTGATTGCTCCCCGGTTTCTTCATGAGTATGCTTGAAGTCTTTCACCTCTTTTAGCACATACCTTGTATCTGCTCCAGCTGTCTCACTGCTCGGGTATTTTATAACTAGCACCTTGAAAAGGGGAAAAAAAGGGAAAGCTTTGAAATGCTATATGTTTCCCATTGGGACTCTCCCACGTGGCTGTGACATTTGTTGTGAATGCCTGGTAACCTGTGTCTGTTTCTTTGCCTCACTCTGCTTCCCCTGGTGTCAGCAGAAAAGCTCTCTCCTCCTAGAGGAAGAGGCTTTGCTTCTTAAGGGCATGGTGTGTTTTGATTCCCTTGAAATGAAGACAATTTCAGGTATCTGAAACTGAGATCTGCCTCCCAGTGGTCCTTCTGTTTTCTCAGCTTGCTCACGTGTTGGATCCAGAGTCAAGGAGCTACAGAAAGGCTGAGGGGTTGCTTTCTGTGTCTGTGCTGGCAGGCTGGCTTGCGTGCATCTCTGGAATAGATGTGTACCTGTACAATAGGAATTTGGGGTGTGAGTTTTGTGCGTGAGCAAATTCTTGGCTGCACATTTCCTGTTCGAGCTCTTTCTGTGTGAGGAGCCCATGAACTTGAAAAGTACAGTCTCCTCTCTGTGTCTGGCAGCTCAGCTGTGCAGGGAGGGCACACTGCTTCTTTCTCATCACTGGGACCAGTTTTGGAGGTGTTTATACAGCAAACTGACTCTTTCAGAAGTGGTATTAGTAGGTCAGGGTACATTAGTCCGATTCTGGAAAATATAGGTATTCTAAATTAAGGCTATTAAGCGTCCACTGATTCAGTGACTGTGCAGATACGCAGTTAATATTGTATTGTGACACATTCTGAAAATTGCTGTGTTTATTTTTGACCTGGAGAAGATGACTAACTCTTTCATGTATGCATAGTTACGTTTACAAGCAAGTAAAAACTTCCCCAAAATTATCTTTAGACTCCTAGTTCCATGAAAGGAAAAAAATTCAGACTTGTCCCTAACTTTGAGCTGTGTGTGCTATCAAGCCTTCTTTCTGCTCTGGGTTGATAACCCTGTTGGGTTTTCAGAGGTTTTATTTATCTCCTCCACATTTTTGTGGGCAATTTACTGTGTGGGGAAAGGAGCAAGAGCAACCCCATTCTGTGTTAGGAAAGGTAGGTGGTACCACAACACAAATTAGAAAGACACTACTGTGGTAGCTTATATTTAATTAAATTCTGATTGTTCTTATTTCAATGTCTCAGTAACACTGATGTAATTGGGAGAAAACTTGGGTTTGTTTTTTCTTGCTTTTGGCCCCCTAGAGCTGGGATGGCAAAACCTGGTGAGGCAGGTGGTTTATGGAATTGTGTGATGGAATTACGAGGACTAGATTTAAACTTTTGTTCTTGGCTCTGGCCTCTCCTCTGCTGTGCTCTGGAGAAATAATGGCAGCAGTTTCTCCAATTGCTGCATTCAGCCAAGGGGACATTACCAATTCAGTTTTTAAAATTACTGGGCCTGGCATTGTGTATTGTGGAGTTTCAGCTTCCTCAAAAGCAGTTTCTTTGGATCTGTTAGTCCACCATAAATCCTTCTCAGACCTTTTAAGCTTGCAGCTTATTGCCTGTTTAGACTTCAGTAATGCCCAAAGGGGTGCTACAGTTCATAATTAATTCTCTATTGCTGCCATCGCCAAGCATCAAAATAGAATTTCCAAAGCCATGAAAAATTTTTGTTGGGAATAAGCAGGGATGCTTTGTAATCAGCTTTAAATAGTCCTGTGGTAATCCATCAGCCCTTAGACCACCCTTCCAGTACCAAAAGGGTACAAGAGAGCTGGAGAGGGACCTTTTACAGGGGCAGGTAGTGATAGGATGAGGGGTGATGGCTTTAAACTGAAAGAGGGCAGGATTACATTAGCTATCAGGAAGAAATTCTTTGCTGTGGGGAGAGTGAGACATTGGAACCATGATACTTTTATTATATAGTGTTACTTTTAGAAGACGAAGGACATTAAAATACCTGATTCTGATAACATATTTTGTCATTTTCATACCTGAATAGGTGATTCCCATAGCTAACTGGAAGATTTTAAATCTTCCAAGATTTTTTTTTCCCTAGCCTATGATGTGCAAATCATGTATGATGGAGTCCAGAGGGAAAAAAAAAAAGAAAAAAAGAACAGTTTTGTTAACAGCAAAGCAGAAGGTGGAGCAGAAGACAAATTTTCCCCTCTCTTTGAGAAGACTCGTGTTTGGCAGATAGTGGAATTCTTTTTTGTGTGTAATGGGATAAGAGTGTATTGCAAAGACCTTAATCTGTGTTATTGGCTGAGGTGAGCCCCATCTGCTAGTGGT